CATGACCATGTTCAGGGCACACTATCTTCTTGCAGAATTAATAAAAAACTGTTTAAAAAATAAACTAATATAATGTAGGTATACATTATTTTGGTTAAAGACTATAGGTTTTGTTGATAAGGTTTATATATGGTATAGGTACCTGTCTGAATATGTTTATTTTTGAATAGGTGTATTGTGTATGCAAATATAAAATAGAGTATGAAAAGGAAATGTGTATTTTTATGGCACCCTCCAACGGCTCCAACTATCTTCTGTACAATAACACAATTAAATAATAGTAAGTTGTATATTATTTTGTATGTAGTCTTTAAACACGAAATATATTTAAAATCAATAAAATGAATAGAACAATTAAGCAAGTGTTTTTTTTTTGTTAAATAATAATTTAAAATAATTCGGTTTCTATCTAATAAATACATAATATAATAATCAATGATCATCAAAATTCTTTGAAAAAATACAACTTTGACATAAAATATAACTTAAGTTACTTAGAGCATATTAGCGACTATTTTTTTTTATTTCAGGTATAGGAATAATTGCTAATAGGTACTTGAAATTCTTAAAGTTTTTAAATAGTTCAAACTGTAAGGTCTCAAAACCATATTACTAAACTATAAGGTGTTTCTCAATAAATAATTTGAAATTGTAATATTTTATGAAAGTACTTGGCTATGTTCAATTGTATATAGTAGTTGGGATATTTTACAATACCTATACATGGTACTAATACATTTATACAGCTGACTGAGTGAGTACTGAATAGTAAATAGTATAAGTATATTTCACATTTTCACTTATTCAATTATTTTATTAATAGTTATATAGACAATAGTCAATACGCCCAATAGGCAGGAACTTAAACTATATCAATTAATATTAATCTATATATTATTAATTCCAGTGGAGTTTTAAAACCGGTTGTCTGATTTATGATAATTTATGTTTTATTTTAAAATGTTTCAAAGATTACATACTTATTGCTAAGTACTATAACGATTAAAAATATACGATAAATGCATTTAAAAAATGATTTAAGCTTAACTAACACTAAATCTCAATGTTGTGAATAATAATTTGTAGTAGGTATGTATTGTTCAAAGTATTGTATAATACCTACCTAAGTATTAAACGTATTTTATTGGAACATTCTTGTACACTGTACAGTTTGTAAATACAATCTCATTAAGGATCTATTAACCAAATTATTTAATACTACTAATGGATATTACTGATATTGATAAAAGTACAAGTAGCCGTTAATTTATTGTGTAAGTATAGGAAAGTTAAAATTTATTACAGCAATCTTTAAAAAAAAATTAATTCAAATAGACCACAAAAACCTACTATATTATATAGAACATGTTTTATGCAAACACCAATAATTTTACGTTAAATATTTTAACAATTTTCATTGAATTAAAATTGGTACGAAAGTTGCTTTGCAGAAAAGAGATAATTTAAAGCCAGAGATCAATTTTATAACCTTCGTTTCCAAGGCTGACTTCACCAGAAATAAAACTGATCCATCCAAAATACGTTAAATTAAATGAAAATAAATATGAATTGATTTGCAAAGTGAGTATAATTTGTTATCTATTTGTTGTTTTGGATGGAACGAGGAACCCGTTCATTGGTTTTATATTGATTTTTTTAATACTTTTTGTAAAACAAATATATTTTAAATTATAAATTGTTAAACAATGTGTTTTATTCAGGGATAGTTACAATGAATTGAAAAATGTCGTATTGAAACGGTATCTGAATAAAAAATTTTAAAACTGCAAAACTCTTTGAACTTATTGTCAAACCTTATAAGACATTGAACTTTGAACAAAGCCGCATATTGTTTTTAAATTCAAAATACAACACACATTGTAAACTCCAGTCAGCTGAGTGACCTACCAAAATAAAACACACGTCATAATAAATCTCGGCCAAGGACCAATGCAAGCAAAGTATGAGATGTAAGGGAGATAATAGAGATAAGGGTCCACACCGGAATCACGACTCCGTTTGTTTTTGGACATTATATTAAATACTGAATAACTTCTTAGATGACATTAGATTTAGCTTCGTTGTGTTATATATATATATATGATTCAAGTTTAAGTATAATAAATTTAATTTTAAATAAGACTATACATAAATGTATTCTTAAAACTTTGACTAGTTAAATTTTAAAAAATTATCAAAAATCACAATATAATGGTTTACGAGAAATGCAAACATATAAAAATCTTGAAACCTTGAATGTGTATACGTCTAATACACATTTTGAATTTTTAATATTTAATATTATTCGTATTATATAAATCTCCAGTAGTCATTGTGAACGTCCTTGACCTGTGATTCTTACCTGACTTAAGAACGATGAGTGACTGCTAATTACAAATTAATTTATCTTTGTTTGGACTTCTACATATTATATTTTTTTGGGATAATTTTTTTTTTTTGATGATTTACCAACTACGTATTTTTCTTACACGGTATAATATTCATATTACATTCTGGCATTCTGCATGTTTTGTTTACCATCTTCGTCATATTCAAAATAATTAATAATACCTTGTTAAAATAATTGACCATTCAAAATGAAAATGTGCCTGCAAGTATGGAAACTAGATTATTAAGAAAATCTGTATTGTCCTCGACAATATCAAAAATATTTAACTATAGTAAAATAATAATTGATCTACACTTTACAATTATTTCAATCAATCGTGCTACATACGATATGACATTGGTGTGCAATATGTAAACATTGATGAATACTATATGATCGTTATGCCTATAGCAGTATAATATGCTGTGATATTATTACATAACGCGCGTGTCAACATAAAGTAGATAAAACATTTGTAATTTATGTGTGGGTAATTAATGATCGGACTCGGCTGGAGTTGTCAAAGAGTTATACCTGCGTTTAAAGATTTGTTTTCTATCCAAAGTTTAGGTTAGCATAGGTCACAGTATCGCATTTGATATAGCAGAACATTATAACAATGCACCACGATTTAAACACTCGCGTCCTTTACTCGGCGTTCTATTTCATATTTTTTTCTTCACATATGTCTCTGAAAAATAAATAATTAATTTTTACGCAGGTACATTAAAACCGTGTAAAAACCTGTCTCCTTTGAATGAAAATCATATAGTAGGAAGGCTGCGGGCATCTAGGCTAATTATGAAGACCGAGGGTCAGGTTACCAAGACGTTATCTGTAGTAGGTATGTCCCACATTCGCTGGATTCACTAACGACATACAATATAATACAATACTGCTGCTACTACTTAATATATTGATACCTACTTGCTATTACCATTACTACTACTACTACTACTACTACTACGTCGACTTAATAAAATACTCGTAATAAATCTACCGCTGGGTTCGGCACAAGGACGGTGTTATGTATATATGACTATATGAGACAACGTGGAGAGTACCTACTACCTATACTACCTATACCGTCTAAACAGCCGGTCAGACAATTTACTAACAAAAACAACAATGTTATTTTGTTTTATGGAAATAATTAAAAAGAGTGATTAAAAAAATTACCAACAGTACTTATTATACCTTAACTAATGTAATATAGAAATATTAGGAAATCCGTACTAAGGTGACTGTAAGTAGGACCTGATACCAGGAAATCTGATATATACGCCACGCAGCACGTTCTGTTGTTGACCTACCATTACTACTAAGTATATACTGTAGAGCTGTAATACTATCGTACAATAATATAGTAAAACTTTATAATACAAAAGACCTGGTGACATATTTGAGCGTCATGATGCGTTTGGGCGAATTACCTTTTTACTGGCTTAATAAAAACAATGTGTTTGGACGAGTTCTTTATACTTTATACTGCGTTTGAGCAAATATCTGAAGTACAATATAAAATATTAAAGATAAAATTGATTTTAAGATTAAGATAAAATATTGTAATGCATACATTACAGGGGTCCTCAAACTTTTTTGGTTCCCGGTGCCCTTTTTGAACTAAGGTTTTCTAAGGGTGCTCTTGCCTGCAAGTCAAAGGATAGCTAATTATAAGAAATAGAAAAAATAAACGGAATTGCAATGAGTATAATATAAAAATGTGTATTTATAAGGGATACATTTTTATTAACGTAATCGTAATAGTTTCCGTATAGTTGCTGTCGTCGAGTTTTCAAATTTTATTTTAGACCATATAAAATTCTACAGCAGCAAGGCTAAAATCACTAGCCCAGACGAACTACACTAAGTTATCCAAACACATTTCAATGTTAACAAACTCACCCAAACTCGCCTAAACGCAAACCACCAGACTTATTTACACGAAGAAATCGTGACTGCAGCTCAAGTCACAAATCAAATCTTAGTATGTTTAGGTCTATATTTAACAAAACTCAGTTTCACAGCGGTGGACCGCTATCATTGACAACTCGGTACAGTCATTCGTACTTGGGTATAAATGTAATTAAGCATCGACTCGTGCTAAGTGTCACGACTCGCGGCCTAACCCAGGTCATTCTGTAACTTTTTTAGGCGCACAGCTTACGGTGGTACATATATTATGCGTGTACCTACCTCGGTATAGGCGGTTACTGGCTTATTGCAGATGCACTGTCTATATTCTATAAAATCTGCTCGTTATTCGCAGTAAACATATTATGATAAAATAACAATTAGTATTATAATAATTCATAGGTACCTACCTACCAATTATGATATTACGGTAGTGCGGTAAAATTAAAAACCGCTGACAGAACCTAAACGGCCGCGCAATTACAGATCCGTTCTGCACCACCGCCAACAGTCTTAATTAGTTTTGATTAAACCTATTATATTATTATTATACGATGTTACTATATTATTATTATATACACACAACACGCGACCGTCCGGAGGCAGGAACAGGCGGGGAAAAGATTTTCAAAATCAAACTCACCGCGTTCGTTTATTAACCTTCACCAGCTCGCGGACCGTATAAAAGCGCCGCCTTCGACCGTGCGCCGGTTCAGTATAGTCATCACTCATACCGAAACGACGGTACTTCATCCGCAGAGTGTTTGCAGCGTGCAATTGCAGCGGCATAACAGCAGCATTTAGCGACGCATTCCGAAGCGATCGTATTTCAGCCGAGCGTAGCCGGAAAAAAGGTATATACCGCTACAAAACGTTATATTTAACACTGCACGTCGTTTTTGTGGGCGACCGTTCGACGATATAGGTAATCAAACGGAAAATAATTTAACATTTTATTTTGCAGCGTTATTGAGTCAATAACATAACACATTATATTATATAAATCGTATAATTATATTGTCATGCCGATCGTCATGCCAGCCGCTTCGGCGCCCACAGATTACGCGACCGCGCGCCCGGTCGAGCTAATGGTGACCGCGTCCGCCTTGGACGAGAAGCCCTGTGGCCAAAGTCCGATAATGGAGTCGCTGTCGGCGGCGGTGTGCGGATACAAAAGTGCACCGAACGCTTCCGACCACGAGGCGTTCGTCCGGGACGCGGTGCGTCTGATGCTCGAGCAAGCTGTGTTCCGAGGAACGGACCGCCGTCGCCCGGTGCTCAACTGGAAGAGCCCGGAAGAGCTGCAGGCCGCATTCGACTTTGCGCTCGACCGTTCGCCCACTACCCACGGCCACCTGTTGCACCTGATCGAGGACACCATCGAGCACAGCGTCAAAACCGGACATCCGTACTTCATCAATCAACTGTTTTCCAGGTGAGTACGTGTGCAATAGGGTCGGGGGTGATTGTTACTAGAGTGTCTGACGCCTCCAAGTATTTACTTTTGGTTTTTGGTAAAAACTGTAAACTGAAAATTAAAAATATCCAAGGGTTTTGTCCACATCCTCAAACATTTCGACAGTGGCTATGTATATTTTTTATATACTATTTTCTGGTGTGCACTACAGTAAAATAACATAAATGTTAAGATTAAGAGCTAGTACACGCACTTCCTTATTTTTAAATACATGTACCGTTAATATCATCGACATACAAATACAATTTAGGTAAAACTAAGTATTGTGGTGTAGTAATTATTACTAACCGATCCATATTTTACATGGATATATTTAACAAACTTAGTATTATTTAAGTCTCATCATGATTTTATTATGAATATTCATATAATAAATTATTAGTGTTATAAGATATAACTGTATGAGAGTAAATCTGTCTTCACGTCTTATTTTGCTATAAAAAATGCTAGACTCGAGTCTGGAATTTTCCCCTCCTAACTTAATGGCCTAGTCATGTCAAAGATGCAAGCTATATGTACGACATAGTCTTACGGGCTTATACTTAATGTACTTATTTTTTCTAATTGCAGCGTCGACCCTTACGGCCTGATCGGCCAGTGGCTGACCGACGCGCTTAACCCGAGCGTGTACACGTTCGAAGTGGCGCCTGTTATGACCATCATGGAGGAAACAGTTCTGACGGAAATGAGGAAGTTCCTGGGATACCCCGAAGGCAAGGGCGACGGTATATTCTGTCCGGGTGGTTCGATAGCCAACGGCTACGCGATCAATTGTGCCAGGTTTTCCGCTTTCCCCGAGGTCAAGGTATGTTACAATATAAGTCAGGGCTGTTACTATATTATTATACAGTTACGCACTGTGAAGACAACATTCGGACTCATCTTGTATTATACGCTTACAATAAATAGTCAACCAACATAATATAATATCCAAGCTTAATATTCAGTAAAATTGAACAGGCCTATATATATATAGATTTCTAAATTATCCTAATGTAACACTGAATTACTATTGTATAGTCTAGTATGACTGCCTTTTCATTTTGTATGACGACAGTTTTTGATAATAAAAACTCTATTGTCGTTAATATGTACAGTTTTATTCGAAGATCTATTAATGTAAAAAAAAAATTTATAATAACAACGCAAAAATATAATTTCGAACATGATTATTCATCATTTAACAAAGTCGAGGAACACAAAAAAAAATATTTTGTTATAATTTTAAATCAATACTTGTTTACAGACAAGAGGGATGCATGGATTGCCGAGGTTAGTAGTGTATACGTCAGCCGATGCTCATTACTCTATCAAAAAATTATGTGCATTCGAGGGAATCGGTTCGGATAATTTGTATTTGATCAACACAGACACCAAAGGAAAAATGGACGTGGGTCATTTACGACAACAAATTCAAAGAACATTAGAAGAAAAAGCAGTGCCTATTATGGTGTCTGCTACTGCAGGTAAGTTCGGAGAGTTTAATTTTTTATCCATCACATTTAATCGTAGTATCATATGGTAACAAAATCTTTAAATTGTATTATTACATTTACATAAATATATAAATAGACCTACATAGACTAAAGACATTCACAACTTAAATAATATTTAAATATATTAAAGAAATCCGAAATAATAGTCATATAGTTTCAAAATAATTTTATAACTGAGCTTATGTTTAGTGATCGTAATCATATGCCTACGATTTTTAAATGATTTAGTTTAAATTAATAGGTAATAGCCAATAGGTGTAGTATGTTATTATTGCAGTGAACAGTCACAGTTGCATTAAAATGAAAACCATAATTAACGTATATTACGTTAATAATTTAAGGTTTAAAAACTAAAAACTTTTTAATAGTAATAACTGTTTCATTGAGTTTTAAAGTTCTGTAACCTAACGTATAATTTTACTTGAAATAAAACCATTCATTTAAAAAATAAGTGAAAGTAGCTGAAACCGAAAGATCTCGAACCTTTTAGCAATAATTTAGTAATAATAGCAATTAATAAGCTATCATCATGAGAATCCCATTCAGAATTTGTACCAAGAAATAATTAATATTGTCGCCGACCATTTAAAACCAGCTTCATACTTTCTCTGTAATGAGGAATAACAAATTTTAATATTACAAATTAAATATTACAGGTACAACGGTCCTGGGGGCGTTTGATCCGATAGCGGAAATTGCTGACGTTTGTCACGAATACGGAATATGGTTGCACGTTGACGCGGCTTGGGGAGGTGGAGCTTTGGTGTCAAAAAAACACAAACACCTGTTGAACGGCATCGACAGGTAGAATAAAATAAAAATAAACACACACAACATCAATGTTGTCAAAATTTTAAATTTAATCTATAGCGATTAATAATTGTTGTTCCTTGTATCCCTCGCAGAGCCGACTCAGTCACCTGGAACCCTCACAAAATGCTCACCGCACCTCAACAGTGTTCAACGTTTTTGACCAAACACGAACGCGTGCTGACCGAAAGCAACTCTTCTTGCGCTCAATATCTGTTCCAAAAAGACAAGTTCTACGACACGACGTATGACACCGGCGATAAGCACATTCAGTGCGGCCGCAGGGCGGATGTGTTCAAATTTTGGTTCATGTGGAAAGCCAAGGTACATACGCCCCCTCCCTCCCCCCACCCAATATTTGGCAACTGTATTTGAATATTCATACTAAAAACCGCTTTACTAGCCTCAATAACAATAGCGATGTGACAATACTGATCTGTTAATTGCTTTTCACCGCACAGGGAACGGACGGATTGGAAGCTCACGTTGACGAAAACTTTGACAACGCCAAATATTTCACCGAGATGATACGGAACAGAGCTGGTTTCAAATTGGTACTCGAAGAACCGGAGTACACGAACATTACATTTTGGTATGTACCACCGAGCCTGCGCGGACGTCAGAACGAACCGGATTTCAAGAATAAACTGCACAAGGTATATAATTATGATATGAGAATACGAGGGTAAAACCAAAAAATAATTATGATGTATCAGTCATTATTTGATTTTGTTGTAAACGGCTTTAATTGTTCATATAAATGATATTATATAATGCGTCCACGAATACTATACCCACGTATTCCGTTGGTGATTACAGGTGGCGCCGAAAATTAAAGAGAGGATGATGAAGGAAGGAACGATGATGATCACGTACCAGCCAGCCGACGATTTGCCGAATTTCTTCCGACTTGTTCTTCAAAACTCGTCGTTAGATCAAAATGATATGGATTATTTCGTGAATGAAATCGAACGGTTGGGTTCGGATTTGTAATTATTTTCGTTGTTAGTTCCTTACATAGATTTTTAATATATTATATTTTTCACGCGCTGTATTGTTCGTACACAATCGAGCGCGATAGGTATACTAAATTATATTATGATTATATTGTTGTAATATTGTTAAATATGTAAGCTCCAGTATAGAGACAAAGAGAGTTTACTATCATTAGTGTATTATGATCAATATAATATGTTACCAAATATAATTTATAATTTATAATTTATATGCATTGTATATTGATACTTGATAGTAATATATATTTATTTAACTCTGTAGTTTTTTTTTTGTATTCATTTTTCACTTCACAGTAGAGTTTACTGTCAAAAATACCTACCGCCTCTATAAGACGGGAAGTGTACATTGCACTTTTCCAAGGTCATTCGTCTACCCAATGAGTAAAACAAAAAACAACAAAATCAAACATTACTCAACCAAGGTCGATAATTTCTCTTTTATTCACAATGCACGAGGAAGTAAAATTAGCTATTAATTTAATATTTAAATAGTTAAAATTCAAAACAAATTAATCATTATAATGTGAGGGTTATCACAATATATTTCTAGGATATACGAGTGTTAGATAGATGACAAATGTTGATTACTACAACAACGGTAAACGAATAAATATTAATTCATAATATCGTTATATTAATAATTAATGAGAACATTTACCTGCAGTAAAAACTGAAATTAAAAATAAAATCGAATTATGCTTCAAAGAAAAATGTTTTAGATTATGTACCTTCAATTAAATAATTCATAATTAATTTAAACTACATTCTTATGTTAAAAATTATAAAATACCTAATAATGTATTGAGTGTAGAGTGTAGACACATGCTCATGCGTTCATGCGATTGGTTCGTCAATTATTATTTTGCTTATTATCGTTGTTAAACCATAATGATATACGTCACGTTTTTGAAAATATAATGGATTTCATTCAGTCGATCAACCGAGAGTTTCGTTTTTTTTTTCGCCTTTTTTTTGTTTACTCTCTATACAACAGAGTACAACTGTGATAATACCATACACGGATGACTGCGATACTGTGTGGATAATGGATATAGTTACAAAAATTACGTCTTATAAATACTTTTAATGGCGATTTGTTATTGGAATCGTATAATGTTCCACGTCTGTTGATTAATATATTATGAAGCTTATTATGTATACACAAATAGGTGCATTTTTTTCCAAAACTCGACACTGAATCACTGAATATATGTAATATATCCAAGTACTCAACCAATGACTAAAATTATGCAGTGACAGTAAATCACCACAAATTGCAAATCATTTATACATTGACACATGGTGAAACTTCCATTCAACAATATATTTTTTTATTGCAATATGGAAGATTCACTGTATAATATACTTCTCATTTAATAAAAAAAAATCCCATAACATAGTGAAAGTCAGTATCTACATCTTGGAAAAATGTTTTTTTTTTTTTTTAACTTTTTGATTATTGTTAGTTAAATTATTTAATAATAGTTTGATCATTATTTGTAGCCATCCACCCAGGAGTCATTCTGCGTAGTTTTATTTTTGACAGATCAATAATTTTTAATTTTTCTGGCAAAACTAAGTAGACATTAAGTTGATCACTCTTGTGATAATCAAAAATTATTAAATGTTACAATACAATTATTATTTTACAATATACTCTATTGCATATTATGTACTTAATTCCGAGGGTTAGGATTTCATAGCATTTGTATATCTATTTCTCATAAGATGCATAAGAAATAGCAGAGTAAGCTAAAAATTTATTTTATGATACAGATAACTTAAATTAAAAATTATATTTGCATATATTTGCATAATTTACGAATTTTTAGATTTTAGTGCTATTTTTGGGCTTTTGAGATATTTTTCAATTTTTAACTGTTTTTGAATCAGAGTTGGTTATATTATATGAAATTATATTTTAGTAAACGTATTTTTAAATTATTGTCAGTTGAATGTCAAAGTAAATGTATAGATTCAGTAAATATACCAATTACGCATAAGCGTTGATACGACGCAAGCAAAACCGCTTATAATTACGTATTAACGATTCAAATTTTTATCTTTTGCTATCTACAGATTTTGTTGAGGTTTTTTGTCCATTTCTGCTGTGGTTATGATTTCTACTTCTAAGGGATCAGACGAATGTTGAATCGTTGTACACTCTATTAATTATTTACAGCAATCATCTCATGTACCTATCCGTTCTCAGAGTAACTAAAAATGATTTCAATAAACTTCAGTAACTTCACAAGTAGTAATACACTGCAGTATCAACATGCCGGCATGCCCACACGGTTCAATTAAAAAGTTTCAGAAAATAAATAAATAACATTTTACTGTTTACTGTGTAATATACAATATACTATACGTGGTACGTCTATACTAGATTTTGAATAAACTAGAAGATTATTTGGACGAAAAATGGGTCCCATGATCAGTGATAACAGCCAACTTATAGAAAACGTTCAGCTGGTTGATCACTTTCTTATTATTAAGGCTCTCTAGTTGTATAGGTATCTACCATCATTGATTATAAATACCTATTAGTATTTATGATCAATGCATCAATGCTACCATACACTATATGCGTTCATGTCAATCACGACTGATCATTGATATCAGCTGTATATTGAATAATACAATTATATTAAAGAAAAAAATGTAAAATATTGTCATTCAATTATAACCATGTTGAACCTTGCTTACTGTTGGTCGGTTGGTTAATCTAGAGTTACTCAATAAATATGCAGTATTTTATTATCTATACCCCCGAAACGACATCCCCTCAACGAGTCAGTCAAATCTCTTGAATGCCAAAGTATGTCAATGCACACGAAAAGCGCCAAATCGTTGAAAATCTGATTACCCATCGAGTGAACATAGAACAGCATTATGAATTCGACCGCCAGCTGGTGAAAACGTTGCCGCCAATACACGTCGTCGAATGAGAAGATAAGGTATTAACCTAACCTAAACGCACGGCAACACGAGTACACGACACATCGTACGGGCTAGCTGTTGCTCAGTTCGGTCAATCGCAGTAAGCACCTAGGCACAATCCTGCGCCATCGAATAAGTTGCTCTGGGACGTGATTGGCAACAAGCAGATCGAATGTGCCCTAAAGCTATAACCGGAGCCACGCAAAGGCTGTCTGACTTTTCCACCATCGTCCATCACCAGTTAACCGGTCACCGTCGCCCACTTCCAATTAAAATTTTATTGTTTAAAACACTTCACTCTATAGAATGACATTTTTTAGGTACCTACTAATTTCACGAAAATATAAAAGATTTTAATCAACATGGACAAAGTCGTCGACCGGCTGGTTTATCGTTTGGACGCAATTAATCAGTTTCAATTGTTCACGAACGAGGTGGTTTTGAAGTATTTTCTGTTCGGAAGACGGCGCAAATGCACAATGTCTGTCGCCATAACGATGATATATGTTAGTTTTTTTCCATCTCATAATAGTGTATATAGGTTCCCAGACTGTTTAAAGACCACAGCCGCAGTAACATTTATAATGGTATAATATTATGTGCGAGTATTGATTGATCGAGAGCGCACACAATCGCTTTTTAACGTCGTCGGTCTTACGCCGAAAACAGTGAGCCGGCGGCATTGCGATATAAACATATAAATACAATACAAGAAGCTTGTATACATATAAGGTTCAACCGTATAAGTTTTCGATGACGAGTGAAAAGAGTAGGAAACCGTCTGAACTTGGCGGTGGCAGCAGCAGCGGGCCACGGCGATCGGACGTTACGTCGGAAAAGTCTATTTCGGAAGTCGCTTCAGATGAGCACCCTCAGGACGTCGCAGCGGAAGTGAAGTACACCGTCCCCTCCGATTCCGGTGGAGCGGAAGTGTACAACGAAGTTCTGGAGCTGAAACCGCAGCAGCCGCCGCCGAAACGAGACTCGGCCAAAATCACCTCTGCGTCAGAAGCGTACGCTCGCGACCGCGGAACAGTGCGGGCCTTGGCACTCACGCAGTTGGCGGCGGGCGACCGGTCCACGGTGGACGCGTGGCTAGACAAGTTGGATCGGTGCGATGATCAAGTGGTCCGATCACAGTACGCTGAGTTCTTACTGAGGACGGTGGTCGGCGGCAGCATTCGAGTCGAACCGTTCTGTGGCCGACCACCTCCCGACGGGCCTCTCAAGCAGCTCGGTCTGCGGGTCACCGATCCAGCGCTACTGCAGCAGCACTCCAGTCCGGCGGCGACCCAACTCGACCAGACTCTGCGACGAGTGACATCGACCACCCGACAATCGTTTTACGGCCGTCAACCGATACCGGAGGACGGTACGATCTGTTACGCCGCCGCGTTTAGCGAAATGTTCTAGTCGCAAGGGACTTGACATATCACGATGGGATACCTCTAATTATACGACACGATAAATTTCAAAAAATGTTATTTATAATATATTACTAATTATCTTATCATATCGACGCTTCGATTCGAATTGATAATTATGATTTATCATATATTATTCATGGCTGGAGTGTTATAATATTATTCTATGATAATTTATAATTCTACGTCCGACTTCTGTTCGATTTTCATCAAAATATTACAAAAACGATATCATATTATACAGGGTGTAACAGGAACACCCATTGCAGACAAATGAAATATCTACTTAATCGAAATAAATGTTTTGACAATCAAAATTTTTCTAAAAGCAATATTTACGAATTGGCCATTTTGAATTTAAAAAAATATATATAAATCAGATTTAAAATTTTTATTTAGAGTATTATTAAAGAACAAAATAAAAATGTTATATTATACTTTCAGTGCAAAAGTCAATAAATAATATAAAAAAATATTTATTAGAACAAAAGTTACTGAGTTACTATTTCATTGCAGTAGCCAGCAAGTATAAAAAACATTAAAACCATAACTTGTATTGTTTGGCCTACTCGTACAATAGTAAATGTTCTATCCGTTTTACTAATTGCGTATGGCAAGGCAAATTTTACGTTCAAAAGAATTCATCTCATTTTTACTTAGAAAACTGACCCATTATGAAATGTAAAGATAAGAGTATTAAGCCCCATCATGTGTAGGATTTTTAATAATGTTTTAATTTTGAACCAAGTTATTGATTTTTTTTATAGATATAGTAAAATATTTGTACATTTTAAATTGTTTATAACTTGCAACAGTTAATGCAACTTAGCTTCATTAATCGTATTTAGGTACTATATTGTCTATTTATTATGGTACCTATTTATATGATCTGCACGAATTCTAATACGGATCTGAATTTAGTTATCTGCAGGATTACAGGTCATAACTCATAATGGTTATTATATATAAGTTAATTTAGTGTATATTTTTATTTTATCAGTACACATAAATATACTAAATCTTAAACTTAAACGTTAAATTTTAATAAAATTGCCACTTTTTCTTATTATAGATTTATTATAGTTCTATTGGTCATTTATAGCTTATTATATATAAGGTACCAAGTTTATATACATGTATATATATTATATACACACACATATATATATATATTATAGTTGAAAAATTATTTTTCTGAAGTACATGGTAAAAATTCAATCAATTATTTAAAAAAAAAATTACAGTGCTAAATAAATTAATTAAAAAAGGAGACATGTTGAAGTACAAACAATATATTATGTTAATGTATAATCTATTCGTTTTACATGTTCTAACAATAACTAACATTTTAAGTTGTATTTGTATATTTTATAGGTATAGTATAAAAACTAAAATGTAAGTATAAAGTAATTTATTTCAGTGAGCAAATATTGATTGAAAAATAAAATAAGAAATTTGCTTAGAACAGTTCAAAAATGAACACCTGTATTACAAAAACAAAATAATGGTTAGGTCAGATTTGATCATTATAGTAAAATAAAATGTACCTATTGCATAAAAAAAATAAAAAAAATTTTCAAGTCTTTTATTTTTATTAAATGTACAACCAACAGTTTCTCTAAATTACTTAAACAGATATAATAATATTTGTATTTTTTGTTATATACTATTTAAGTATAATTATAAATTATATTCACAACACTAAAATATAATAAACTAATCACAAAAAAAATCTTTCTAAAAACTAAATTTGGGGACAATCATTAAAATATAACATTTTATATGTCGCACACAGATTACATTTTTTTTTTTGCATTGTCATGACAATTTTTAATGTATTTTTAATACTAAGTTACCTAATAAAAAGGCATCATCAGTCTTTCATTATGTACATAGCTGATCTTCGAAGGTGGTTAGAACAGTTTAGATATCTAAAAATATATATTTCACAAAGAAAAATAGTCTTCATTTTTAACTTTTTAAAATACACATTTAAAGTATACAAATCATTGTGTAAGTAGTTAACCAAAACGAATAGCTTTAAATAAATTTAGTCATATACATAACACGTGTAAAATTTAAAACGCGAATAATCAAAACTAAACCTAAATATTGTTTGTATACATGACTGACATTTTATAATTTGCAATAACGAATAACGACATCTTTTTTCTTCTCTACGATTATTCGTATTGAATCCACCAGGAACTTTATTGTTATTTGTTATACGTTATTTTTTTATCTTATAGTCTTTTAACGTCAAATATTCTATAAATATATACCTATTGTTTATTTTTCAAACATTTAAAACAAACAAACGAAGAAATAATACATATTTTTCATGTAGCGAGTCTGTTAAAAACAATTTTTGTCTTCGAACATAATATTTTAATAAATGTTGTTTTTCTAAAATTCTTTATCATCAACTTAAAGGTAACATATTATACAACATTGGTAAATTTTAAATATTCTAATTGCACGTTTATAATGTCACTTATAATTTTTATTATTCGTTATTATTTATAAATATATAGATTATAGATAATATAATATTAAGTATTATGTTATTTAAATGGTTATTGGGCCGGTAAGTTGGTTATTACACAATACGAAATATATTCTTAATTTAAGCGTTGACATCTGTACTCATAAGTCATAACTATTTATATAACTTTTTTGCTTTTTCATAATTTAATTAGTTATCATGCGCACCTACATCTTAATTATTAAAGCCAAATCATTATAACATAGACAGAATTTACTACTGTAGTAGACGAAGTCTAATATTTCCTTTCTATAGGCATTCGGTTCATATTTATACATTTTTTTTGTCTACTCCAAACAGTTCAAACTCGTAAATGCTTTATAGTATTGTCTTAAGACTTAAGATAATAATATCATAACTTTTTTAGATATATTTCTTTTCTATATAATCGGCCAATTTTTTTTTTTTTTTTTTGATATTGTCTTAAAGTTAATGGTTTATTATAATGGTAAATATTATATTTTTAATTATTGCACATTTTGTACATACCTACCTATTACAATAATTCAAGCATTGAAAAGGCCAATATCATACATTTTTAAACACCTAATCACGATAGTGTTTTTAGGCGAGAATGACTTAATAGTACGTGTGTACAATATTGTAATTTGAACCCAAATTCAATTAATTCCAAAAGTTAAAATAACAACAAGTTTTGCTTAAAACAGCAAACTTAAAAATTTAAATAAATAAATAATAAAAGTATTGTGGGATATATGATATGTGTGCGGACATTATAACAGACTCAAAACACCTACTAAAAATCAAAACTCAAGAATGTTTAAAAAAGTAAAAAAAAAGAAATAAACAATCAAAAAAATAATTAACAACCCTCCATTATTGTCGTGTTTACGTTTTATGAATATCTATCTAACGATTAAACATGATGGTAAATGCTCATGCAAATATTCCAATAATTCCGGCGATGCTCCAGCACAATTTGTCAGTTCCAATTCTTCTAAATTTCGCATTTGAATTAAACTGGATAAACCACTGGATGTCAACAAATGACAACCTAAAAATAATAAATTTCACTTTAAATATTAAATATTAAAAGGCGGGTATCTAATAAAATATACATAAATGGTTTAAATTGGCTCTATTGAGAGTGTAGAATTAAACACTTCATAAAACATTTTATTAATGTATAGAATATTAGATATATAATATGATTGTTAGGGTAAGTGGTTCCGTAAAAATATTCACCACACCTGTCCTTAAATTAAGCACGTAGTATTCATGTCTTATGATATTATCATTATTATATGACCTAATATTACGGCGTTTATGTGAAAACAAAACTGTTCACGTTTCTCTCGTATGAAACTTACACAATTTCAAATTCATCGATCGGAAATTAGTTTAAGTTTTAATCCTTCCCCCTCTCAACATGTTGGATGTTAATCGCTATAATAAATGTGTCTTATAACGTAGCATGTTGAAATTATTATTTACCAGCAAGTGAGAGTATCCTTAGATGTCGCATGCCGCATAAGTGTTGTATACTGAAATTTCGTAGTTGTGAACACCAACGTAGAAATAATGCTTGTAAACATATCATTGTTGATATATACCCTATACCAATATCAGTGATGTGTATGCACCTAAAAAATACAGAATAATAAACATATTTTTGAAAAAGTTAACCATACATAAACATAATAATATAATATACGTCCACATGAATAACTTAAAAATATTTTACTGCGATCAAACAATTATTAACAATGGTAATAAAACATTTATACACATAGCATTATACCGTATATACAATATATATGACATAAAATATCGTTTGTTAGAATATAGAACCTCTAAAAATGTATTTATTTCACATGATATTATATTATGATATTTTTCTAAAATTTAAACAACAATATAAGAAGTAAATGTATTAATTTTTTCAAAAGTACCTACGTTTTTCAGTTGCTTGTCAAAATAAATTACTTCAATATTTGTCTTAAATCCATGTTAACAATTACCGATGTATAATTAATTTAAAACTTAGTTCACAAATATTTTACTGTCTAAAAAGTAAAAACTTGAGTACTATTTTTAATACTATTTATACATAAATAATATAACTATGTTTTATGTGGGTATATTAATAATAGACAATAAATCGACTATCGGGCCCTGTTGGTTATAGATATTTGAAGGGTTAAATAATGCTAACCTGGAATAAACGATAAAAATAGTTTTGCTATACGAAAAAAAGGTCACCGTTTTATTTAAGTACCTAATATATATAACGATTATAACAATATCAATTTATCGACAAATATGATACTTGTCTTGTGCTATTAGAATATAACTTATTTCTTAATTTTTTATAAGAATTATTAGTAATATTTTAAGATAACTGCTAATTATCTGATCTCAGAAATTGAATATTGATAATTTTTCTGTTTGTGGTTATCACATCAAATGTATATAGTGTTTTACCTGTCTAAGACCAACTGCTCCAATCCAACTAAATCACAAGCAATGTATTCGAGGGCTGCATCGGTAACACGAGGACACCAAGATAAGTCTAAGATTTGTAATTTTGGCAGATTTTCAGCGATCAATTCGATCCCGTCGTCAGTGATTTTACTGCAACCTGATAAACTCAGCACAGTAAGATTGGGAAGTGAGTGAACTGAAAATAAACATAAAGATGTAAGTTATTATTTTATATAGGTATATGTACAGAATTAAAATCTCTACTTTTAGTTTGAGAGGTCCACACTACCAAAGTTTTAAGTGTAATAAATGAATTGTCTATGTATAAATTGTTTTATTCAGTTTGAATTAATTATAATTACCGAATGGATGGTACGAATATTATACGAACAATTAATATTGGACACTAAGGGTTGATGACAAAGGTCAATAAAAAGGGATAGTTTCCATAACTAAGTTTGATAATATTTCGAAACTATTCAGACATGCAAAATTAGAGAAAATGAAACTCCAACAAGAATGTAGCTACATCATAAATAATTAACGATTATGTTAGAATATTTTATTATTTTGCTTAAGTTATTTTTTATGCTTATACAAGTTTCAACAAGAACGAAAATGATTTTTTATGTACAAAAATATGTTTTATTAATAATTTAACCTACTATTTAGTATTTATGTATATTATGTTGTATGGATTTTAATGATTTAATAAATCACTTTTAAATTAATTAATAATATTTGATCGACAGAATACGAAAATAATTAATGAATAAAATGTAACGTTGGTTTTATTATAAGTATTTTACTAGTGCTACTGCAGCTGTATAACTATAAGTAGGTCGATATTTCTGGGACATGAAGAATATAGATAATTATAATTTAACTGACTCTACTTTTTGTGATCATTTTTCTTCCAACCATAGGTAGCTTATATAGTTATGTAGGTACCACCATTATACTATTATATTACGTACATGGTTCCGATAAATTAATATTTTAAAAACAATAGAGTTGTAAAACAATCTTATGCCTAATTTTTTTCCTATACGATGTTATATTTTACGAATTTGGGTTTAATGAATTCGGGTAAATTGCTTTAACGTTGCGCTATAAATATTTTGATAAATTTATTAGGTATGCGAGACACAGCATTATTATGAAGTGTACTACTACAGTCTGCAGGATTAAAGTTATTCACATTTAAATTGGTATACCTACCTACGTTAAAAATGTAGGCATAGGTACCTGCGCAATATATATATATATATAAATATATATATACTACATAATGTATAGTTATTACTTATTAGTTATTAATCATACTGTATGAGATCTTTCACGTTTGAAAATAACTCATGGACTACAGGAACATACCTATATTACCTATAATAATAACGATCAACAAATTAATGTCATCCAAATAATACGTTTTAAGATTTTCACGTTCTTAAGTCGAAACCCTGCGGGATAAGACATGTAAGAAACAGGTATATACCTATAGGAACACTGTCGCTGCGGGCGACTCTAATTAAGGAAACGCGTTCAAGGACGCGTGCGAAAACAATATAATAGTTGCCATTATTCGAGTACTGCGCTCGTACACCCTTTTTGTTACTCTCGTTCGAAGTACTCACCGCATAATAATATGTACCAATATAATATCATATAATATGGCCTATTTAAGTATATATAATATTATAGAGGCACACAGCACTGTGTACATTATAATAGTTTATATTATAGTGTAGGTATTACACGGCGGAATTGCGTTTCTTATATTATTATATGCATGTACGTAAGTAATATACAGATTTAATATTCATTTCGGATCGATAGAAAAATATTATACATACGGCAGGAATATGTATCGCGAGTTGCACGCAGCCCTATACTGTAAATGTGTTGGGGTGACTATGTGCGCGCGTAAATAATATTATATTATATGCTTTTCCTGGCGCTCTGAATCACGTGCCCTTGCCAACACACGACCGAGCGATGTTTAGTAACGATACCTACACGAGGGGGACGAATAAAAGCAGTCGCTATATAACCACCCTTCCTTAAAAAAAAATAAAAATAAAGGGGCCAGGTGGTTACGACTTACAACTATATACTGCCACTGTTCATGTAGAGGATTTCGTATAATAATTTGTCGTATATGCTTCGCAGAGTTAAAAAAAACTCCACAATAAGACGTATATACATACTAATTTTATATATAATATAGGTAAAAGATATATATGTATATAGTGTACACTTTATTTGATATATCATATACAACTTCCCGTATTCAAAATCTTCGAAGGCGTATATATATAATATATATAGTGACATCTGGGCATCTCGCAACCCGGGGTTAATATTATAGGTGTGGGTAACGTAATTTAATATTATACAGGCTAGTCGGAAGGATGGCGGATCACTGCAAATTTAAAAAAAACGAGTACACCGTGGTGTGTATAAATATATATACACTTCGTCGGTTGGTTGTGATTTAATATATTATAATTCAAACATTTGTTTTTAGAATTTGATTTAGTTTAAAAAAAATTAGATTTTTTTATGACGTTTAATAAGAATTAAGAGTGGTTTTTTGAGGTCCTTATCAAAATTTGACTGTGCTTAGTTCTTATGTTTTATACTTGATGTCTTATGAAATACAGATGATTGCAGTTCATTGTATATTTGAATGTATTAATATGGGTTAAGGACCTATGTCCTATATAATATAACAAATCATATAAAATAAGTGTGAACCGGTTACAAATAGCCAATCACTAATTTATTTAGACAATTTTCATACATTAATTAAAAAATATGTTATATAGCAATATTTAATGTATATTATTCAAATATTCATTGGATATAGTATATGAATATAATTTATTTTATATAATAACTTCGAAATTACTAGTTTAAATTTCGATTTTGATATATCAATATTCTTCAATAAATCAACTACTTAAAAATGCCCAGTAAAAAAAAAAGAAGTCCTGATTTAAATAAAAGTTAGTATGCCATCACCCAAGTAACTTTTAAATAAGTACTAATGCATAATATTATGTAGATAATATTACACTAACTACTAATTACATCGTGATGGGCTAAAAAATTGTAAAAAATCAGGTTTTAAATAAAGTATAACAAAATGGACAAATAAATGGGGATGAGAGTGCTTGGTGAATCACTCTGTAGGTACTGCGCAGTGCTGTCTGACATTATATGACTACTGTTTACACGCGACATCGATTTCAACCACGTACCATAAATTTGTTCAACAATAAATACAATAAAGGCGTGTAGTGTTTACACGTTTACATGAGGATTTCGATTATTTCTTCTCGTTTATAATGTGTCATTTATCAAAGTCAGTCACTTAAATGGCACTTAATTTGATGTCTTCGACGTTTTTATTTCTTACACGTGTTCTATATGTAAGACGTAATTCCTACATTTTTTTCTCTGTATAAGTACATACAAAATATATACAATAATAAAGTGCCGATTGTTACTTTTTTACTGTACGTCACAATTTGAATTAAAAGTTACAGCCCCGCAATTTAGTATTTATTCTAGCCACTGTGGGTATTATGAACATACTACATGTAGGTATAAACGGTAAACAATGATGACATAAAGGTTATATTTATACTTATAGAGTGAGTCAACATGTCTGAATGTGAAGTAGGTATGTAAATTTCTTAAATAATGATTGAGCCTTTGTTAACCCTGAATGTTAAGTCATTATATAATGATATATATATAGGTAGGTATCGTGGACAGCCCAATTACCATACCATACTTCAGTATTCCATTATATTATGTACTTGCATTATAACTTGGATCATATTTCTTTATTAAAAATTTTGGTTGATGTATAGATAGCTGATGCCTGATGAATACATATTAATATATCCTATGATATATTATTTACGCGTAATATAATTTATAAATAGAAGAATTAGGTATAAGTATTATATATAAATACCAAGGACTTATTTCATATTTGTCTGCATTCCAATTAATTAATTACAAACATCGTTTTTGTTTGAAAATAATTGTACTATAATAATTTAATAATTATTATTAATATAGGTATTGATACATCAGTGTTATAATATATGAAATGAAAATAATATTGTTTTGTATCTGATTATATAAGTTTACTAATTTTAAGTATACCACCTACTTTTATAAACTTAATCAAAACCAATATTATATGTACCTGTGAATTACAAAGGTAGTATAAACGATAGCATAATAAAATATACGTACAAATCCAATCATCAAATATTTAGTTTTGAAAAGAAATGAAAAAAACTATCGAAGTGTACAAATAAATTATAGCGGTGGACCTTACTCAACTTAATCCAGATATAATAATCCATATTGTAAAATTAGATTACATTTTAAGCCTAATAAAATGAGTTATTAGAGCAAGAATAGAGCATATTAGTTAAACAATAAAAATAATATAAGTAACGTTTGCAACAAATCAGCAAACCCAATTTAAAATAACTCGGTTCTGCAGAATAATGATGCATTATTTTTTTTTAAATTTGAAAGTGATAATATTATCAATTGAGAAAGAATAATACTTAGCACTAATAAAAATGTTTTAAATATTTTGTTAGAGACTATGCTTTGATATTACAGAATTATTTTTATACTTTTTTTCAATTTTCTCATAAATTGACGGGGAATGTAAAAAATGACCTTCTTCGACTTCCACGTTCAATTTCTAATCTTGAAAGGAGCTGTATGGGATATTTTTAGATGTTTTTACTGCCCCGAAAAGTGTTTACCGAATGGAAAAAAATACGCATCGATAAAACCTGCTACATCTCGTTCCGCTCGGAATATTAAACGATTGGGAAACGCAAATGCGATATATTATAAAATATTTTGATAACCTGTCCAAATCAAATGTTTTAATAAAAATAACTACATCATCATAACATTATAATATAGTCCACGGATCTGAAATATTGTTCTATAGACATTGAGAGGCCATTAACCAGTTTGACCGGAGCTGTAATTTATTAGCTACGGGGGAAACGTTCAAAAAAGAATGTAATTAGGTTTTTATGTGTAAATACGAAAATGAAAAATCACGGGACTTTCGGTTCGTTTCGTGAAAAGTAAACACCGTATAGACTACTGTAATGCAAGTTTTGTTCGCAACAGTTTATTTAATTTCCTATCCGCCACCTCACTCGTAATGATAATTTGTTTTGCAAACCAATTATCATAATAACTCCTTAACTTCGCTGCAATTTCCGTTCGTTCGTTCTTCGACGCGAACCGATTACCCATAAAGACGTTTCATCTAAAATATATATTATACGTCATACGTAGATGCAATATATTATTACTACTATAATTGTGGTGGCCGTCTTGTGCAGAACAATAATGCCCTGAAACAATTATATAATATATATTGTTCTATGATGATAGGGCCTAGGGCATTTTCTGCGAGCGGTAGAATAGACGTAGGTAATCTTAAACAATTATTTAGTAGTAAATATTACATTATTATGATTTTCGATGTAGGTATCGATATTATCGTAATAATACTAATAATATGTAGGTAATATATGGTCATACAATAATAATTAATGACATATAGACGTATAGCCGTCTTACCCGTATAATTATCTTACGGCAATTAGCAACATAAAAATATCTGTGTCGACGGCTTGCGTTGTCGTAATAGTGTTCAGTAAGTAAAAAAGTAATCACACCTGTTATATATACTCCAACACATGTCGACGCGAATTTTAAATATTGAATAAATTTGATATTCGTCGTCGCAGTGCGTTGTGTAGGCATACCTATATTATTATAAACTTCAATTTAGTCGAACGCAGTTTTGTGAAACCTGCCGCTACCTAGTCAGTAATGATTTTATTCTGCACGACCGTGTTAAATATTATAATGATCGTATAGTTTTCGTTTTCTATTTTCGAACCTACTACGTTTTATTTTTTGTTTTTGTAGTGATTATTATTATTATTTGTCAGCGATCTCTAAGAAGTTTATGTACAACTGTAATAATTCACGGTTGTATAAATACGAGAAAATCACGTTTTTATTTAGGTCAATTATTATTATTGAAGTACGTTTTCTCGAAATGAAATGATCTATTATTTTTATGTCATATCCACATAGTACTTCTGCAGATATTTTATGTTTATATAAAAGTAAGCCCAACGATTATAACATCATTATTAAATTGGAACTCAAATGGATTAATTTGTATTAAAAATATTAAGTTATTAAGTTATATGTAGATGTATGGATATTGGCGCATTTCAATATAATCAACCTGTTATACATTAAATTATTGTAATTACATGTTGTGCTTGTATCTACTCGGGTTGGAAAAACAGACAAATAAATAACTATGGATATATTGAAATTGTACCTATATGCATACAATTATACAAATATTATTCAACACTGTGAATTTCATTCAATACAAAAGTATAGAAGCGTTAATAATGTATCTATTTTTAAAATAATATAATAAAATATTAATAAATATCATGATAATATTATTTAATTATTATAAAAATAAAGAAAATATGATGAAATTGAATATTAAAATATCGCCTACAACGGTACCTATATATTATACATTTTACCACAGATCTTCCACAAAACAAACAAAAAATATTCAATAATTTACCTGCTATAGAATCTAAATTTCAATTCTTAAAAAAATTATGTTAAATATATTTCGTACACCTTGCGCACTAAATAAATATAGCGAAATATGCTACCGATGAACGAGACTATAGATTTCTTTCCATACAAAGTATCATAAAACCTAGATAATGAATTGAATTCGAAAGCCTCGATCATAGTTAGTGGTTGTATATCTGCGTTAGCTGGGATACTAAATAATAGTAAATATTAATCGATATCGGTTGGTAAGACCAATTTTGAGTTCATAGCCGATAAGCGCTGTACCTTGTAGGGTACCTACCATCAAAGGGAAATAAATAAAATCGTGTGCACAACGACAAAATATATTATCAATTGTAGAACCATCGTAGAGAAGAATAATATCGGTAGCGGTATTTTTTATACAGCTACGTTGTGTATCGTGTAGTGAGAGGGCGTGATGACTTTATGGTTACAAGTTACAACTGGTAGCCATATATTTTGTTTAAAAGTTGAGCTGTAGTCAATTATTGGTATACTTAGGGTCGTATTTAGGGGGACGGGGGCAATGGGGACATCTTCCCCGGGCGGCCAAATATTGTTCTATTTAGGGGCGGCCGGGCACCGCTGTAGCCCGGTATAATATTGTATATTATTATAAAATATTATTTCATTTATTTTTTTGGAAAGAATTCGTTCTATGATGTGGCCATAATTTGATACCGTCATTTGTCAATCAACGATAACTGATAAGTCCTAGCATTGAAATATAGAGTACCTATATAATTAATATTATTTTAACATAACCACTGTCGTAGATAGACAACCATGACATAACCATAAATAATTATAACTAAAATGTGTTATGAAAAATCAAAAAAGTTGATCTATTTTTTTGGGGGGTGGGAGGGCGCAAAAATTGAATATACGGCCCAGGGTATACTTGGTTGCAACTTGGTCATTAGTACACGATACCAAAAAAGTAACGTCCAATTACAGTGCGATTCGATCGACAGTAACGGTGAACCCGGCTTTACTCGAAAAAAGCTTGACATCAGCTCAGCGACTAGCGGAATTAGAATATTTACCAACGGTTCGGACATCGGCTTTAGTCAAATGTGATCTCAAATCGGATATCCGCAAAAGTATCGGTCTGAGCTTGATATTAAGCAAAAACACTCGGCGTGCTGTATTATGATGTGTATAGCACAATCACTCACCAATATTTACAATGCCGTGGTTGGTGAGCTCCCAGCACGACTGCAGCCTGAGCGCGGACAGACTGTTGGACTGCCTGGACGAGAAGAATCCCAAGGCGGCGTCGGTGACGTGGTACGCTTGCAGCGTGAACTCGTTGAGGGCTGGCAGCATCTGAGCCACGGCGCCGACCGCATCGTCGGCCACATTTATGCAATCGCTCAGGGTCAGCGACACGATTCTGGGCGTCAGGCATGCCCATAGGCCGGCCTCCGTGATTTCGTTGCACCCGACTAGCTCCAGTTGCCAAACACCCTGTGCGATAAAAAAAAATTATTATCGTTATTATTTATTGACATCGCTATTACGAAAGTCCGACGATGACGACCATCGGATTCGGCAGAACACAATATATTTCGTTATACCCGCGGCTTAAATAATTACTACACGCAGCGGAACGACTTACGTCCATATTGGTACCTGTATTAGATCGATATTATCTTTTAGATTGTTGAATATGTATTTCATAATATAGGTAAATTTCATTTTTTTTTAGATAGGTATTATAGGTATTTTTTTCATGCATTAACTTATTTCATGATAACTATAGCTGTCTAACCACGAGTAAAAATCCACATCGGTGTACCTACCCAAGTTGCGAAATCGACAAAAGCAAAAAACACTCCCGCCGAGTCTCAGTATAATAATAATACGTGTGCGAAATGTGATACCTGCAATTGGTTTCAAGTTTATAAGCTCTCGTGCAAATTGATATACATTCATGATTCATATATATTATATAGGAGATCATGCACGAGTTCAGTTATAATCAGAATATAGTGACTCGTAATCGTCTTGCTGCACTCTTAAGCGATTACACTTCTAGACGATTACATAAAAAACAACCCGATATAATCGTGTATACTAAATCGAAGGACGATGATCGAAAAGTTGTTGTAACGACGAAGTATATTATCAACCGTTTTATCACGGAATAATGATATTATATTATATTGTCTTACGGAAATTCGTGTAACTACATCTGCTTTATATGAGCTGCGGGTATTCGATTTAAGCTACAAAGTGGTTCTACACATATATAGTAATATACACAACGTCGTTTGCACCAATAACATATTTCTTGCAACCTTTGGTGCGTTCAAAGGCACCGTAGAAGACGTACGACTATACTACCCACATATATATAGGTACCTAGTCATTATAGTGAAATGCCAAAGAATGTATGTATACATTAATGAAAAACCTTTGATGTTATTTTATGAGTTTTGTCTATAATATTATATTGTTACAACGGTGTTTACGTTTCGCTAATTGAATATTGTCATTGACGTGTGCCATTTTACTTGCCTTTGTGTCTGCAAATACATACGAATTAATTTGATTTTAATTTATTTTGTTCTGTTATAATATTTTATTCACTATAATATAGTTTCCCTTGCGGCAGCAGCTGTGTAGTCACTTGAAAAGCATTATATACCATCAGCTACGCGTTAACCTACCCTGTTCCAGGTTTCCGATTTTTGTCAATGAAAACGTTATGACTCAACTGTCTCATTATAACAACAAAGGTCATTGTTAATTGGCATTGTTACACGGTTCATTCATCGTTCACAAGATTTTGAATTAACACGCTGTATATATGCAGCACGGCGCCACGGTGAAACCGACTGTAGTCTTTAAGACAAATTCAATGAAATTCTTAAACTATGTGCGCATAATATAGCGATTGAGAGACTTTTTTTAATCAAAAATAATCAAAAACTCATTATAGACGTTCGGATAAGGTGCAAGATAATTCGATTTTTAAAGGTGTTTAAATTATACTTTATTCGGCGACACGTCAGAATACGTGAATGCGAATAATTTTAATAAATAATATATTCTAATAAAATATATATATTTAGGTGCTCTCACAAACAGGCACGCACAAATATTAAACAAATACAAAATATAATATTAATATGTAACTAGGTAATATGACACAATGTCTATTGATTGACGCTGTGCGTACCTCTGTAAAATGTATAATTAAACATTGGTAATCGTGTTAAACTGTTGTATGTACCGACTACCGACTTAATCGAATTCACAAAAAAACTCGTGTGCCGCCTATGTAACGCCTGTATACTGAATATATAATACACTCAAAATACAATATACATAGACTAAATATTATGATGTATAATATACATACATATATATGAAGCGAATTCGAACACATCCGAATTCATTGTCTTATTATTATATTATCGGGTATATTATAAAATTATATAGGAGTCAGGAGGTATACCATCCGGTCGCGATACAATATAATACCTATACGTATTTACTGTGTGATACGCATGTCCTACAAAACGTAAAATGTTTAATGTAATGACTCGTGGGTGATGTATATATCGACTTAGGATGGCGTAGCAGCTGCGAATTAATGTTTATAAAACGACATGGATATTTTATATTATCATAGGATGTTAAAACGTTAAATAAACACGAGTAACGACCGACGAAATAGTGTGTTATTATGTGTTATGTGTATACCTATAGATATACGACCATCGTCCAAAAGGGTCCAAATCGCCGTGTTAAGTGTTACAATGCATTTAAGTGTACGTATAGGTATCATATATAGTACTGTTGCGACGGACGTACACATACCACAACGCTTCGTTTGGATTTACAGTTCAACGACTTAACATATTATTCCGTGTAAGCGAATTAAATATTAATTGAATTTGTTGACTCAACTGAAATTTATGACCATGTAAATTATATAATGTGTATTGGATACATAAATTGGAACGGCACACGAAACGATAGCTCGAAAGCTCCATGACGATATATATAGATATAGATTACTATATGTCCGCATAGGTACCATATATGTGGTATATAGGTGCCACGAACATTGCACGAGATACAAAACGTATTTAAATTATTTCATTCAATATTATATTATATTTAGTGATCGATACACACACACTGCAGATACTAGTCTGTTATCCGTACCTATAATTAATTTTGTTATCGTATATTATATACTTGTACACTTGCAAATATATACATAGCCACATAGGTAAAAATAATGCTTAATATTATTGTCATCTAAAATTTTCAACGGGCGCGCATGTCGCACAAACGCAAATCCACCAGGATTATAGTGCTGGGAGTTAGGTCTTTACATTTTGTTGTGTTTTGTTTTAAAACTTTTTCATTTCACGCATCATGACGCACCACCCATATAGGTTGTGTATAATTATATAGGTATTATTTATCTGCATATACGTTTACATCATTTTGAATGTAACTATAATATTTTTGGTGCGTCTTCTCGTTCATCGGGTGCATAAATATAAAAGCATTTAACAAACACGTGCCCACATTAAAAAAAATACAACAGCACGCGTCTCCACTCAACGTCGACTGCCTAAAGAACCTAACCTCAGGTGCAAGACTCAAATAATATAATATAATCATACCGGTGATCCGTTTGACGTAAGACGCTCATTGTTTCAAAAAAACTATAGATATTTTTGAAAAAAAATTTAACGTCATTTTAAGTCATTGAAAACAACATTTTTCTAAAAAATATATTTTTACTATTTTTATTGTATCGTATTTTAAATGTCTTAATTTTTAATGGCAACATGCATTTTTTAATTCTTTTATTCGAAAAAAGTTTTGTCCAAAAGTTTTGTTTTAGAGCGACTTAACATTATGTAAGAGAATTATTTTCATAAACGTCAGTGCTTTCTGAAATAACGAGGGTCTTGCGTTAAATGATTCACCCCGTAAATATATGCGTATGGTGTCGTCTATAATAAATAATAACGTCTCGACGATCGATGATAGAATATCGTGTGTACGCATAAATATGACTCGAAATCATGACGACGTATTAATTTAATATAATGCCTTGCACCTGAATTAACCGTATCCATAAAAGCACTTCAAAATATTAACACCCAAAACCCGCTTATAACCAGGAATATTTTTAACATTCGAATTAACTGAAACTTGAATAAAAAACTCTCGAAACCCTGTTTTTTATTATAAAACTTTCATGTGTTATGTATTTTTGTAATTAATTTAGGGCTAGACATACCCCTAATATGTTTTGTTAACTGTTATTATTGGGTCTAGACAACTATTGATAATAGTATAATAATTATACTAACTAATGGACAATACTCATTATGACATACCTAATGTAGTAAATGTTATGTCGATACACCATATAGTAACATTTTACAAGTTAAAATAATATTCCAAGAAATAATATCACACAAATTAAATATAGGTTCATAGTTTTCAAATTAAGATTTTTCATGGACTTCCAACACCCGTGTTGACCCAAGCAGGATAGGTAATAGGTTATAGGTAGTTTACATAGTATTATGTAACATTTTTTTTTTTTTATTATTTATCTTGAGCTATAGGTAATATCTAACTATGGCCATTAGCAGTATTAATATAATGAGCATACGTCTGGCTCTCCATGAACCCAAATAAATAATTAGGGTGCAAATCCCTGTAATAATATAATGGAGTAGGTACTGTCGTTTCGAAACAAATAATATTTATTGATCGTAAACAATACGCGTCAAACCCAACAAGTTGCGTATCCCTAAGTCACACGTATCCGTGATTTATAAATTCATATATATATATATATATATATATATATATATATATAGTTGCACTATTATTGTGGCGAGTGACGATGATGTAAATCGTTTAAATGGATATTTGTCTTGCGGAAGTGCGATTTCGATTTGTTTGTGTTGTTGTTGTTGTCGTCGTCGTTGTCGGGCGGACGGTAGTTGTAAGGGATGTGTATATAGATTTAGGGAATTCGCATTTAGGCAATATACGCGACGTGGCAATAAGAATTCGCTTAGGAATACATTTGGACTTGAAGGGTTTCCATTCGGTAAATTCCATGCATTCCGTCGTATTTTAGAATAATATTGCATTCCTTGATTTTCCTTCAATCCGTTTTATACGAATGCGGTGGCGTGACAGGCGTAATTCGGTACAGACACGGTCTGCCCGACGGTGCAATATACACATACCTAAATATATATAATATGCTCTCTATCCAGTGTCCAGGGTACCAATCGTGGGAATTTTTATTTGCATCCTAAAAATTGATGTGTATTTAAATTTTAAGCACTGTGTTTTTCAAGTGAATTTTTCACAATTGAAAAATTAAAATCCGTATTTATCAAATAATATCTCAATGGCGGTTCGTCATTTATTGGCATTCTTTTACAGTGGGTACCTTTGTTGAACAA